GATTTCTGGCCTCAACCCGCAGACAAGTTTCTTGATTTGTATACTCTCCTTATTTCTGTCTCAAGATACAAAGTGACGATCTAATGCATGCCAGTTCAAAACGAGGATTATGCATTCATAAGAGGATAGTATAAGAAAGTTACTTCACCACCGTTATCATCAAATACTCGATATCTTCATGACTATCTGTAAAATGAGAAATGCAGAAAGATGTCAAGTTATTAGATTTTCATAATTCTGTTCTTGATGTTCTGCGACAAAATTTGCGCGTGATGAAATAGCTGCTCATGTAATGCCGGGTATTCGCGCGCAAAATGGCGGCTACTGGCGTGATTGCTATTTCACGCTCAAATTTCACCGCAGATCGGCACCGCAAAACACTATAAAGCGGAAAAGTCGAAGCTCTACTTCCCAGAATATCAAAATTGGTCTTTGAATACAAAATGCATCGCCTAGTAGCCCAATTTGTTACTGAAAGAGATCTTTTCATACAAACACAAAAATACGTCGAAAAATGGGGCACAAACTGCAAAAAATGGCTATCTAACTTGACACCACAGACTGTGAACAACCGTTATTTGAATAACAAAAACACAAAATGCTTTCAAAAATTACCCCACAGACTGTGAAGGAACTATTATTTGAAAATAACAAAAACAGCTGGACAGAGTCCATGGAGAGTGCTCAGGGCTCACTTAGTTTTATCAGATGAAGTAGACTTCGCCTTTGCCACCATCTGCAAAAGGATTCCAAGAAATATGCATTTGTAATCAACATTTTCTCACTTGAAGCAGCATTTCCGGAAACCTGCGTCGTTCTCGAGTGATGCATGTCGTGCAGAACAACGCGCCAAAGTACACGCTACATGTCTAATGGTAAAAAAAATGTAGCGATATAAATATTGACAGAAGATTGACAGCCTCCAACCTTATCGAGACACACTGATTGATTGCAGATGGAACATGATGAGCCGAGAACGAGGAAGTCAGCTAGTACCGCTTTTCTGCCCTTCACACGTCGAGGAGGTACGAAGGGATCCCTCATGTAAAACACTGGAGCGGGGTAGCTGAAGCGGTAAATTTTTTATGAAAAATATGAGATTATAATGCCAAACTGATCTAATATATAAAAAAATCACAAGCGCAGTTCAAAAATCTTCCAAAAGCGG